CCCCAGATGCTACTATAGCAGTGATTGGGACTTTAGAGAGTTCATTCAGTTCTGTTTTCCTGTAGAGAAAATTAAGGCTCACAAGGGTAGACGAATCCTGAACAACATATCAAGTACCTGACAGAGCCATGACTAGAGCCCATCAGCCCTCCAGGCCTTGTCCCCAAATGTCCCCAGCCACTCCTGAATCTGAGATGCCCTGGCGTATTTATACGCACGAGCTTAAGTACTTTGAAAAATACCGTTAGGCCACACGTCTTCCACCACATGACAGAAATATTTATTGGTGGCGGATTGCTATTTGCGGGTTCTATAGAGAATGCCCATGTGCTGACTGCCAGGGCAGGAACAGGGGACAGATGAAGACAAGACAGCCAACTGTGACTGTTGGATACAGATTAGCACAGGGGACTTGGAGGCAATAGGGCCATTTTAGGGAAACCTGAAAGGATGAAACCTAATTTGGTTAAGAAAACAATGGGAACTGCTGTGATGGCTGCTGTGAAAACGCTAAGGAAAGTGACCTGCTCCTCTCCTGTGCCTGGCAGAAGTGGCCATGTCACCTCCTGGTCTTTGGCCTGCTGGCCTCTCCCATATTCTTGGTTGCTAGAGGAGACTGTGTTTTTCTTCATGGCACTTAGGCTCTGCTATTGACTGCCTTTACCTGGGAATTTTAGACTGTTTCGAGACAGAATTTCTCTGTGTAACCCTGCTGTCCTGGAACTCACCCTGTAGATTAGGCTGGCCTTGAACTCAGAGACTGGCCTACCTCTGTCTCCCAAATGCTGGGATTAAAGGCGTGTGCCACCACTGCTCTGTGGCAGTTTATTTTCTGCCCACCAATACTTGCTATATTTTCCTATGACATCTTAATTTATTTAGGACATCAGGTGTGGTAGCGGGGACCCTTGTCCACTGAGCCATTCACCCCCCCCCCATCACTAATGTAAAATGGGCAATGATGCTAATAATATAAGCAAGTTGTACGCCAAGTGTTTTAGCCATCATGACTTACTATCTCCTGATGACACCCCTGTGTGTGACGTGCAGGGAAGCTGGTGGAAGACTTTTTCTTGTTATAGCCCTGACCCTTGAGATGGTGGCACTCCTGCCCCAGCTTTCTAAGTACAGGCCCAGGTTCAGTTCATTCTCCCACGGATAAAGACGGAGGAACAGAGAGGTCACGTCTCACATTTATCCTGCAGTGGCCGTGGCCGTGGCCGTGGCTGTATCTGAACTGGGATCTTTTCTACTTTGTATGCCCTGGGAGCTGTGCAAGAGCAGGGATCCACTCCGACTGCTGCTGTGGTTTCCTGTCCACTACCCGGAGCCGTTCCCACCACTGTCCTGCCAAGCAGGAGAGTTAGTTCATTAGGTAGGACTGGCCATAAGTCTAGAGTGAGCCCAGGAAAGCCTGCCGTGCCCACTCCCTCCCCAGCATGACTACGTGGGCTGCTCTGCCCTGACTGGCAGCCTGCATTAAGCATTCTGCTCATCATCTCTGGGATGATGGAATCCTAACCTTTACAGAGACACTGCGCTCTGTCACAAGCATTGCTCTTTTTAAAAGAGATTAATTCACTTGCCGCATTTTGTCCATTGGTGAAAATCACAGGGGGGGAGAGCAAGGGTGGCTTTCTCTGATCTCAGAGGCCCTTTTAGCCACTCGCAGCAGGCAGTCATTGCCCCACCCCACCCCCAGCTGGCTCAGGACTTTGAAATGAGTGCCTGCTGGGCATTCACTTGTGAAACCACAAAATGAAATAGGGAGATCTGGTTAGTGAGGTCCTAACTTTGGGGACTGCTCTACACGGGGGGGGGGGGGGGGGGGGGGGGGGGGGCACGGGACGACTCGGTGCACTCCCCACCCCTGCTTCAGTGCTACAAGAGAAAAAGTCTGTGGTTAGGTTTGTTGTGGTGCTAGTGAGGTTAGCTGTCTCAGTTTCCCGGGTGCATCACTCTTTACAGTGTGTCTCTCAATCGTGACAGTCACCTTGCCTGAGAGGTTAGCATTGTCTCCTTCACAGCAGGTGAATGCAGAGCCTGACTCTAGAACCAGGACCCTTGCTCTCTCCCATCACACCCTGGCCCCAAGAGTACAAAGACTGATGGTCAGTCAAGAGCTGGGCTCACTAAGAACACCACGGGTTACTCTCCTAGGACTGAGGGGGTTTGCAAAGCCCTGCTCTACTATACGTCCTCATCGTCCTCTCTACTATACGTCCTCACCGTCCTCGCTGAAGCTCAGTGAGAGGCTGTGACTGCTTAGGGTGTTAAGATAGTAGGTAACAGAGCTTAGAGCTAGACTAGATGAAGGGCTTCTGACAGCACTGTATTGCTGTGTTATTGTTGAGACAAAGTATATCTCAGGCTGGTCTTGAACTTGCAGCAATTCTGCTGCTCTGGTCTCCCAATGAGAGGTATGTACTACCATGCTGGACTGGCCTTATATTATTTCACTAAAATGTTAGTAAGTCAAAAGGACACCCCCTCTGCCAAGAGTTTCTTCTAAAAACTAACCAAAACCTTCACAGAAAAGACAGTCCCATATTTATAAGTATTTTAAAGCTGGGCGGTGGTGGCACACGCCTTTAATTCCAGCACTTGGGTAGCAGGAATAGGCGGATTTCTGTGAGTTCGAGGCCAGCCTGGTCTACAAGAGCTAGTTCCAGGACAGGAACCAAAAGCTACGGAGAATCCCTGTCTCGAAAAATAAAAAAAAAAAAAAAAATAAGTATTTTAAAATTGTTCATCAGCACACATTAAAAGCAGCAATATATCCTTTGCACCCCTTAGACCTATAATCCCAGCATGCAAGAAACTGAGATAGGAGGTTCATGAGTCAAGGCCAGCCTGGGCTGCTTAGCAAGTTCAAGGCTGGCATAGGCAGCATAGTAAACCTTGTTTCCAAAAGAACAAACAAGAACAAAGACGCCTTATAGTGATATTTCATTTGTATTTTAATAAATAAAGCTTGCCTGAAGTTCAGAGAGTAAAACAGCCACACTGATCAGCCTTAGAGACCAGACAGTGGTGACACACACCTTTAATCCCAGTAGCCACACTAGTTTGCCATAGAAACCAAGCGGTAGTGGTGCACGCCTTTAATCCCAGCAGTAGAGAAGAATCTAAGATGGGACAAGACAGTTCTCACACACAGTCTCATTCTGAGATTCTGGAGGCAGGATCATCATCTTGAACTGAGGTAGAGGTAAGAGCCAATGGCTGGCTCTTTTGCTATTCTGATCTTCAGATTGACCACAATATGTTGTCTCTGGGTTATTAATCATGCTACAAAGCCTAGTATTGCCAAGTGTTGCAAGAAGAGACGTGCACAGAGCACCCCGTCCTGCTGGTATGAAGGTCTGTAGAGCAGCCGTTATCCTGGAGGATGCTGGCAATTTATTCACATCACACACATGCATGCCTCATGCCCCAGAGGTCCTATTCCCAAGGCAATGGTCACATAGGTTCCAGGAAACATGGGAGAGGATGTTCTTTGAGCATTGTTTTTGGTGGCTACCTGAGTCTGGGTGTCCCTGGGAGAGGGTAGAGAAGAATATGATGAATTATTCTGGTCCCCTGTTTCCTTTCATGGCCATGGATGTTAAAGAACCTAAGAACCCTAGGTATACATTATTTGTGTGGGGGAAAAATCTTGTTTTGCACAAACCATGTGGTGTCATTGAAACATTCGGCTCTGAAGCTTAAAGTGTAGATGAAGTTCTCGCCCTCACTGTGATTGTGAAGGAAGCTTCAGTCCAGATAGGATGGAAGATCGGGATAGGATGGAGAAAATTTTGTGCCCTTTGCTTGTATGGACATCTGCCTAGTGGATGGACCGTGGGGGGAGGAGGGGGGCTTGAACTCGTGGAGAACCTCCTGCCTAGGCTTGAGGATTACCACCTGCCTGGCTGAATTGAATTCTTGATTTTATCTTCCTTTAGTGGCACTGTGGTCTTTGATTTCCTGAGTTGTCCTAGAGCAGACCCCACATCTTCTTACCCACATCTAGAGTGTACTGTAGGACCCTGCCATTGGTTGGCTGAAATAGTTTGTCTTTGCCTTTTGTGTTCTGTGAAGAGGGGTGCTGTGTGGATGTGGGCTAATGAGACGAGATGAGGAGAGACCATCTGTGGGTAATGGAGAGAGTCTATACCAGCCTTTCACAAGTCATTTTCCCTCCTGTCTCCTCCTCCATTACAAGAGTTTCTCTCTGCTCCTTCAGCTTGTGAAGAGTAAATAAACTCAGGAATAAGAAGTTCCAAGAGGACAGGCTAAGTAAGGCATGGCTTTGCTCATTTGTCTCTGCCTCTGTTATAGGGAACAGGACCCAGAGCTCAGATTTATAATGATGTACTTTAGAACTTGGATTTGTTGGTTTACTTGACAATCAAGGGACTCCTATATGCTAAGCATCTGGCTTGTAGATCCCAATAGGTCTGCATGGGCTATAATAGGAACTTAGCATTTCTGAAATTCTTTCCATCTTTCTTTGGGTTGAAGGGTTTGTATTTTCCAAATAGCCATGATAAAATTAACAGAGTTGAGGAATGTTAGGTCTTCAGTGCTAAACACTGGGAACTTAAGGGAGAGGGTGTGGGCACCAGGTTTATATCACCTGACCTAGAGGCAAGATTTCAACGTAGCAAAGGGGCTGAGAGGCTCTTGGGCCAAGGAAGTAGGGGTGTCATAGTATCACTATTAAGATAGAGAAGGCAGAATCTTTTTCAAAAGGCTTGAGAGAATGACAGTATGGAACTGAGCAAGGGATGACTCTGGTGAGAGGAGTGATCTGAGCTGGAATTGGGGTTAGAACTCAAAGGACTTGTGTCCAGATTCATGCTTCTGCATATTTGTGTTTGTTATCTGCTCTCTAGAGTTAGTGTTCTCACTGTGTTGTCCAGGCTGCTTTGCACTAACTGTATGTCCTAGGTTTTTTCTGCTTGTTTCCACTCCTGTCCATGATAAGCTGACAATATTCTTCTGTGTTTTGTCAGGCTGTTGTCAGAAGGTGCAGATGTCAACACAAGGCACAAACTTGGCTGGACAGCACTGATGGTGGCAGCCATCAGCCGAAATGACAGGTAAGAATCTCCTTCTATCCAGGGCTGCCTCCCTGGCTACTCGGCCACCCTTGCTGCCCCTGCCATCTTCTGCAGTCCCAGGTGCTGCATGGTGGATGTGGAGAACCACATGTGGTTTCAGATCACAGCAGTACCAGTCACTGGCTTTGTGACCTTAGGCCAGTCACTGATGTTATCATAGCAGCCACGTTTTTAAGAGCAGATTTTAAATGGTTCCACGCCTGTGAGTTTTCACTATATTGAGAAGCTGTCCGTTACTGCCCTTATTGAGGGCTCTCCTAGTGAATTTTTCTTTGGAGGGTCTGGAAACTTCCATCTGTTCCTTCTGTTGGTGGCTGTGATGTTTTCCTACCTACTTTCCCCTTCATCAAGGTTATAGCCATCATGTAAAGAAAACAGTAAGGACTGGAGAGCTAGCTCGGTCACTGAAGTGCGTGAGGACCACGTGTGAGCCTAGTGCACCAGTGGCTGAGCACTAGGGAGACTGCAAGGACAGACAAGTGGATCTCAGGGACTCTTTGGTCAGCCACTCTGAGTCAGAGTTCCAGGTTTGATGAGATGAGGACCCTGCCTCAAAAAGTCAAGTGGATTAGACGAGGCTAGGCATGGAGGCAGTAACTGGTGGATCTCTGAATTTGAGGCTAGCCTGATCTACATAACTCGTTCCAGGCCAGCCAGGGCTACATGAGACCCTGTCTCAGAACTTGAATAAACAAATAAATGAGTGGACCTAACAGCTGCCTCTAGTCTACACACACATGGACATGTGCACAGGCACATGCGCATGCACACGCAAGACACAGCAGACGTGGCATAGGCAACCACTTGTAGCTTCTTTTTTGTTTGCTTGTTTGATTTTTTGTTTGCTTGTTTGTTTTTCAAGACAGGATTTCTCTGTATAGCCCTGACTGTTCTGTAACTCACTCTGTAGACCTCAAATTCAGAGAGATCTGCCTGCCTCTGCCTTCCGAGTGCTGGAATTAAAGGCGTGCTCCACCATGCCTGGCCTTATTTGTATTTTTCATGGCCACTGCACAAAATATATACTGTTATATTCATTTTACAGTTGAGAAAACTGAAGCCCAGAGAGGAAAGGTGTTTTCTCTAAAGTCATGTAGGCAGGCTAACCCGGCATGCACAGTGTGCATCTTATTCTGTGTCAGTCCTCCAACCCCAGCTTTCTGGTTTCTGCCCCTGGGTCTCCAGAAGTCTAGTGGGATGAAGTGTATACTCATCTAGCTCTCATTGTATGAAAGAAATTGTGCAACAAAAACAACAGCATGTTTTTAGATTTTTTTCACCCAGTGCTGGGGATTGAACCTAGGGTGGCAGGCATGTGCGGCAGGCACCTTTGTAACATGGGGGACCAGGCCTGCTTGTTTGGGTTTCTGCCTCGCCCGGTACCCCACAACTGTTTAGCCCCAAAGAAAATCACACATAGGTCTCTATAAATTATAAGCTGATTGGCCCATTAGTTCTAGCCTCTCACTGGCTAACTCTCACATCTTGATTAACCCCTTTTTCTGATCTATGTTAGCCATGTGGCTCAGTACCTTTTTCAGTGAGGCAGATCACATCCTGCTGCTTCAGTGATCTGGGCAGGAGTGGGAGGAATCAACTTCCTCCTTCTCAGAATTCTTCTGTTCTCATTGCATCATTTTTATTCCCTGTCTGGTTTCCCCACCTATATTTCCTGCCTGGCCAGTCAGCATTTATTCAAAACATGATTGACAGAATACAGACAATTCTCCCGCACCATGCCTTCCCATTGAGACATGCCAGCTTTTGAAGGAATGCTTTCAGAGAGCAGCTACTAAATTAATTGTTGGAGGCACCACTTTTAATTCTCCTGTCAAGCAGGTCTTTAATGCTATAATTGCTAGTTCTGACCACTTTGGAAGAATCTGAAACATGGAGAAAAACTACATAACTGGGATTTTTGAATTTTAGGCATTGATCTGCCTCAGATCACCTGGAGATCTTTCTTTAAAGATGTGGTCATGGCTGGAGAGATGGCTCAGTGGTTAAGAGCATTGCCTGCTCTTCCAAAGGTCCTGAGTTCAATTCCCGGCAACCACATGGTGGCTCACAACCATCTGTAATGAGGTCTGATGCAGAGTATTGTATACATAATAAATAAATAAATATTTAAAAAAAAATAAAGATATGGTCATGTGCTGGTGGTGTGGCTCAGTGGTGGAGTGCTTGCCTGGTCCTGGATTCCATTTCTAGCATCACAGAACAAAACTAAAAAGATACTATATATACTTTGTTTTTGAGACAATTCAGTTGTGATTCTGTGTTTAAGTGTTTCTCCCCATGAGAAACATGTTCTAGTTTTTGAATTACCAAACCGTGGGGAGTGGGACTGGAGAGATAGCTGAGCGGTTAAGAACTGGCTGCTCTGCCAGAGGACCCAGATTCAGTTCCCAGCAGCCACACAGCAACTCACAACTGTCGGTAACTCCAGTTCCAGGGTATTTGGCACCCTCATGGAAATATGTAGACAAAATACGAGTGTACATAAAATAAAAATAATCTTATATAAATAAAAATAAAAATAAGACAAGTGGGGAGCTTATAATCTAATGTAGAAGAGTACAAGTACAGAGAATAGGAGGACAGCTGGGGATTGGGGTGCGGGAGCTACAAGGTGTGAGGTGGATGGGTGGAAGCAGAGTCCATGACTCACTGTTTCTTTGTATGTTTGTTTGTTTTGTTTTAATTTAATTTTTTTATATTTATTGAGCTCTACATTTTTCTCTGCTCCCTTCCCTGCCTCTCCCCTCCCCACTTCAATCCTCCCCCAGGGTCCCCATGCTCCCAATTTACTCAGGAGATCTTGTCTTTTTCTACTTTCTACTTCCCATGTAGATCTATGTAAGTCTCTCTTAGGATCCTCATTGTTGTCTAAGTTCTCTGGGATTGTGGTTTGTAGGCTGGCTTTCTTTGCTTTATGTTTAAAAACCACCTATGAATGAGTACATGTGATAATTGTCTTTCTGTGTCTAGGTTACCTCACTCAAAATGGTGTTTTCTAGCTCCATCCATTTTCCTGCAAATTTTAAGATGTCATTATTTTTTTCTGCTGTGTAAATTTTTTTCTCCATTATGTAAATGTACCACATTTTCCTTACCCATTCTTTGGTCGAGGGGCATTTAGATTGTTTCCAGGTTCTGGCTATGACAAACAAAGCTGCTATGAACATGTTCTTGTGTCATAATTGAGCATCCTTTGGTTATATACCCAAAAGTGATATTACTGGGTCTTGAGGAAGGTTGTTTTCTAATTTTCTGAGAAATCGCCACACTGACATCCAAAGGGGTTATACCAGCTTGCATTCCCACCAGTAATGCAGAAGTGTCCCCTTTTCTCCATCATAAGTTGTTGTCAGTGATTTTGATCTTGGCCATTCTTTCAGGTGTAAGATGGAATCTCAGAGTTGTTTTGATTTGCACTTCTCTGATGACTAAGGATGTTGAACATTTCCTTAAGTGTATTTCAGCCATTTTAGATTCCTCTGTTGAGAGTTCTTTGTTTAGGTCTGTACTCCATTTTTTTTTTTTGGATTATTTGTTCTTTTGATGACCAATTTCTTGAATTCTTTGTATATTTTGGAGATCAGACCTCTGTCTGATGTGGGGTTGGGAAAGATCTTTTCCCATTCTGTAGGCTGTCATTTTGTCTTGTTGACCGTGTCCTTTGCTTTACAGAAGCTTTTCAGTTTCAGGAGGTCCCATTTATTAATTGTCTCAGTGTCTGTGCTGCTGGGGTTTTATTTAGGAAATGGTTCCCTGTACCAATGCGTACAAGTGTACTTCCCACCTTGTCTTCTATGAGGTTCAGTGTGGTTTATGTTGAGATCTTTGATCCATTTGGACTTGAGTTTTGTGCATGGTGATAGATATGGGTCTATTTTCATTCTTTATATGTTGATATCCAGTTATGCTAGCACCACTTGTTAAATATGCTTTCTTTTTTCCATTTGATATTTTTTGCTTCTTTGTCAAAAATCAGGTGTTCGAAGATAATGTGGATTGACATCCGGGTCTTCTTTTCGGTTCCATTCGTCCTCCTGTCTGTTCTTATGCCACTGTTTCTTATAAGTAAAAAAAAAAAAAAAACGTGTCTGCCTCAGGTTATGAATGGGAGTTGTTACTCTTTGGTGACCAAGGACACATGTCATCTCTGTATGCACAAGCACACATTATCACACACATTACTTTCCACCACTGATTCTACCTATACCCACCTACCCATTGTCTTGCCGAGTTTGCAGGTTTTTCCATATGTGGGGAAGACCCAGTGGTGGGGAAGCAGACGGTGTTTCTTCTGTGTGTGGTATTTTCAGAGTTGAGCACTCTTCTTAAGAACACTCTCAATTAGTGACCAGATTGCTGGAGAATGTGCTTTTGGGGACACTGCTCTCTGAGTTTAATGGGGTTGGTTTAACTGATGACTCTATCCTTCTCCAGGGCAGTAACAATTCAGTGATGCCTGCTGAGCAAAATGAGTGTTGACTTTTACCTACTTGGCTTCTAAGATTATTACTAGTTGGCTTGGGTTTTTTGTTTGTTTGTTTTATCTTTGTGTGTGTGTATGTATGTGGGTGTGTGTGTGTATTTGTTCCACATTGGGCTTAGCCCTGACCTATCCCTTTCTGTTTTGTTTTTTAACTAATGCTTGAAATTGAACCTATAGTCTTCTTTTGGGATGGAGGTATGGGTTGAGATACGGTCTCATGTAGCCCACACTGACTGAACTCCTGATCCTCCCACCTCAACCTCCTGAGTGTTGGGATTTAGTCATGTGCCACTTTGTTTTTTAAATATGGGTGGGTGAGACAGTTCTATACAAGCATGTGCATATGCGTGCAGGTGCACTCATTAATATATACACTTGCAGACACTAGAAGTCAGTGTTGAGCCGGGCGGTGATGACACATGCTTTTAATCCCAGCATTTGGGAGGCAGAAGACAGGTGGATTTCTGAGTTTGAG